TTTAAAGCATTCTTACCGAAATTATTTTAAGACACAGACTCTAATGTAATAACAACTTAAGAAAACCAGAAGCGTCTTTAATGAGTTCATTATATTCTAGTATTAATTATTATTTTATCTAGTAACTTGAAAGAATGATAAAAATAGCACAAATATTTATTCCACAAAGCCATCATGTAATCATCCACTCAATCAAAAAATCTTATTTTCTATTTCAGTCGAAAATAATTATCAGGGCTCATAATAATTATTCGGACCCAAAGCACGTATGTTTTGGATGAGGTTAATCATCAGCTCAAAATCAGCGTCGAAAATTCACAGGATACTCGTACGAAATAATCTCACGCCTTCGGTGATATCGAGAATATGCCGCGGAGATTTACAAAGCCTGCAAGTTGTAAATTAATCGATCAAGAGGGTCTGCAAACACCAGTGCCCTCTCTACTATTCGCCCCCGGTCCGGTTCATTCGTTCCTAACCCTTCTGTTGTCAGCCTGTGCGAGGACAACGCGCACTGCTTCTTTTCCAGTCCGCTATCGTCTTCGCTTACGACCCCTCCCCCCATCTATTTCAGACGTTCGGGAGTAGATAATGGTATTTGACATTTATGTCAAAGAAGTACACATGAATTATTATAATATGTTGTCTGTTTTTTTTAATCCTCTTGAAATTTAAAGAGAGATACACCCTCACATTTATAAAAGACAATTATATTCTTTATCGTCCAAATTGTCATGTATTTATTATACCCTAACTCGTCATTACGTCTTCATCTCGACTTCGATTTAATCCTCGCCTCCACCTGCTTGTCCCCTACCGGTAGCGAAAATTCATTTGCAAAATTGCCGTTGACTTTGTCTGGATTTTTTTTTTTTTTTCATCGACACTGACTGGGAGGATCTAGGTTTCTAGTCCCGACGGTGGTAAGTTACGACACGAGCTGCACTGCTCGACCGAATTCAATCACTGTCTGGAGGAGAATTCTCTCGGCCGGCTGATCTGATCGGTCGTTTCCCGTGGTGCATCTGATTAATACCAGGTGGATTCCGGAGAAGTAACTTAATCAACCGATGACGTACTGCGCGCGATCTTCCTTTGCTCAATTTTCTCCTTCTCTCCCCATAGAAACACAAACACACTTCCATGCACTACACTACCACACATGCCGAGACCAGTCGGGAGGTTAGAACTCGTACCGGCTGGGGCGGTGCCCAGTTGGGGGACACGTGAAGAGGGGACACCCCAACCCTGCTTATAGGTCAGCCCCGCACCTCCCGTTCCAGCGGGGCAGGGACACCGCCACATCCCTGAATATAATAAGAACTACACCTACGGGACTCATTTAATAGTTGACGCCCCCGATATCACTACATAATCAACCGATCTTTCCTCCTCCTTCGTCCTGATCCTGCCTGTCTCGGTTCTTCCTTATCACCCCCCCTGATCATCTCTCCACGCAGTGCCTCCGCCCCCGCCCGTCCCCGCCCGCGTGCGCCGCACAGCTTTCACTTGCCCGCGGCAGCCGGTCGCGGCGCAGCCCCGCGTCCTTCACCGCCGGCGCCGCACTTTCCTCCGCGTGATTGTTTTTCCGAGCGGCCGCGGGGAGCGCGACGGTTTGTGTGCCAGTGCGCTAGTTCGGGCCGCGCGCGTTGCGGGGCGCGACTGTCACAGCGGGCGCGTCGCCGCACGCGCGTGCGCGCCCGAAAACGCGAATCCGACGCTTGACGTCTCAAAGTAGCCGAGTTCCGTATGAAGAAACCGACTGCGTAACGCATTATTCCTGCCTCGTTCAGAACGAAAGAGATTCACGAAAACATTCGTTTCCCATTTGATTCGGAGCGAGCCCGAGAAAATGTGAGTTTGCGTAACAAGCGTTTGTCTGAGGCTTCCTGGCTGAAAGTGGGGCGACAGCTCTTGACGACCCTTCATTTTCAACAAATGTTCCTGAAATGATGGTGGCCTAATTAGTTTGCTAATCCTCGTATGTTTGACTTCACCTCTTGTTGCAATAAAGATTAGTATGTTTCCTTTTCAATAGTGTTAATCAAATGGATTACTTCAATCTAGGACAGTTATATTTTAGGGAAACATCTCGCGTAAAGAGAAGTAGAACGTGTTTTAAACTGAGAAACTTTTGTAATGTCTCTGAGAATTACCGCATAGATGGCAGCTAACAAAGACTATTTAAAATCAACATATGATTTGTTACAAGTTTCTGAAATTCTGGTGTAACTTTTATATATAGGAGGTATAAGATGGTTTTAAGATCTAACAAAATTAGTTGTCATCAACAACTTCTACATATCGCGTACAATAGTTGATAGAACCTCCTTCGTGATGAACATATCAGTTGATGGAATCACGTTTGCTGTGGGAGTAATACAATTTCAAAGGCCGATGCACATTTTTAGGAAGATGTGTTTGCGTCAAAAGTGCACACATACAGAAACACTCTGGGTGGCAAAGGACCCGTAAATGCACGGCGCGATGCAGCGCGGACAGGGAAATGCACCCGAATGCAGCGGAGCAAAATGTAGGAAACAAGAGCAATTTTACTACCCGAACGTATTCAGGACTGCAGAGTTTCCTTGAAGAAAGAACTGCCTCGTTTTAAAGCCTTAGAAACCCGTGTATTCTGCGAAGCAGCTTTTTCTGGCATCCGGGGACGCGGGAGATTGAACGCGCAGGGCTCCGGGGCACGACGTGGCGTCGAGGGAGGAGGCCCGCAGTAAGCGGATCACGTGGTAATCTAGACATGCGCACAAGGGGGCCAGGGGGGTCCTATTTCAAAGAACTCCCAAAACCGTATGTGATAAACCATTTTATTTTATAATTTTTTTCCTTTCTTGTGATAACTATTAATTTTTATTTTTATTTTTATTTTTTTGCAATTTCATTTCATTTAAGTCACTGTGGAAACAGCATAAGTATTTTACACACAAGAAACTACATTTTAAAGTATATAACACATATATAATTCATTACAAAAACGTTTCACAATACTCTAAATTAATTATTCCAATGAAATAAATTAGGAAATTTGTTATATGACGTTTGGTGAAGAATCTTTTCACGCCATCTTTCAACCTGCATATGGTTCAATATAAAAATTTCTTATTTATTAATAGTAATCAATAAAGATATACTAATTTAATTCTTTTTAAGTATATTTTATTTATCTACTAGAAAAATATGCCATATGTAAAGATAAAACTGTTCAATGAAAAGGGGGCCCTGATACATGGTTGCCCCCCCCCCCACCACCACCACCACCACTGTTTTAGGCTGCGCTTGCCCGTGTGTCGCAGTGAAATTGCACGTAGGAAACAAGAGAAGTTTTACAGTCCACATGCAAACAGTAGTCCGCGGCGCTTCCTCGAAGTAGCGAGCGAAACGAGCAAGAACACGTGTCAGGAGCTTTTTAACACGGGGTTCGTGCAGCGCCGTCCTTTTGAGGCCCGCCTGCGCTCGGCGGCATGGAGCGTGGCGTAGCGTGGCGTGGAGTGGAGTGGAGTGGCGCGCACCGGAGCGCGCGCTGCCGTGCTGAGTCGTGTGAGGCTCCGCGGGGGAGGGGGGGAGGCTGCGCGCGCGGTGCCTAGCCGCGCTTTCCACGTGCTCCGCTGAGCTCCGCTGCGCGCCTGGGCACGGCACGGCGCGACGTTGGCACCCCCGCGCCGCGCGCCTGATAAAAAGCAGCGTTTGTTTTCTATATCCTACGCTCATCTGTCACGCTGCTTCCTCCTAGCCCCCCCCCCTCCCCCGCCATCGCAGCTTTTACTTCGATTCAGCTCTTGCTGGCGGAATTCCATTCAGTGGTGCTACGCGTTTGGTGAATATGCGCGTGTGTGCACTGACGCGTGTCGTGACGTGTGAGGTGACTGGATTCTGTTTCAATGGCCGATCTCGGTGCGTTTGTGGAAGAATAGACGTTACGGTTACTTTATGCAACGCGAAACATCTAGAGGAAGTATTTCTCGTTCTCTGTGGTACAGCCCTCCTTGAGCATTCTAAGAGCATGGAATTAATAATACATGAAAATATAACTAAAGTCAGCATGTAAGGATCTCCGTCTTCGCCACGGAGCTGGCATTATTAGTTGTTATCATTATTATTGTTATTATTAGTATTATTATTATTATTATTATTATTATTATTATTATTATTATTATTATTTCAAGGAATTCCGCCTTTTAAATGCGTTGCAGTCTATTTAATTTATTGTGCTGCCAGTTTTCGACTCTCATCAAAGAAGAATGTTGGATATTTGTTAAATACATATCCTACAGTTTTAGAAAGAATTTTCCAAGATAATTATCCTATTGGCATCGGTACATCCCAAGAACAAATACTTACGTAATTACATCTGTTTCCTTCCCGAAAAATCTTTCGCTAGGTTATTTTCAATGCAACTTTTACATAGAGATGATTGAGCCCAATACTTCAGTATTTTTTGCTGATCTTTCCGTGTACATGAGACCCATATAATTTCTCAACTTTGATGCCAATACTTCCAATGTTTCTTAAGTTGATTCTTGTATCTCAACTAAAATGCTTGCCGGATGGTACACACAAGAAATACTACTTTGCAATACACTTTGCACGTATGTTTACTAGTATGAATTAAATTATTGCATAAGTGAAGAACCAAAATTATTTTTCTAACACAATGACAATGATTACGTGATCATATACCTGATACATCACACAAATCAATGTTTCCAACGAATTAAAAAGGAGATACCACGAAAAATTACATATTGAAAATATTAGAAGCGTTTTCAAATGAATCTTCACTAGTTTTTCTGTTGCGAATGGTGAGTTTCAAACTAGTGAACAAACACTGACAAACTTTACATTTACTCAATATTATTCACAAACGTTCATATGTTTACATATTAAATATTTCCTTTTGCACTGCCTAAAGTGAGAACACCCTTTCAGTATGTGTCATTGTGCTTAAATGAACTTCTGTCTGCTTCCGAACAGCGATGCAAATCATCATGCAGCACCAACAGCACACTCTGCTCCAGCAACATCCGCAAGATCAAGACGACCTCGAGGGAGCTCACAACCACCACCCAGGCCCGGGATTCTATTCGCGCCCGCCTTACTACTACAATCATCATCAGAACCACAACCACCTCGACCACCACAATGACAAACCGCAGCCCCCGCATCGCCCGGTCTACGGCTACTTCCGGCCGGTGGGCCCGACGGCTTCCAACAGGCCGGAAGTGCTGTTTGTGAGGCCCGGGGAGGACGGGTACCGCCCTGTGCCCCCCTACCGCCCGCACCAATACGGCCCCTCGAGACCCGAGTTCGTGAGGCCCACGCAGAGGCCCGATTACAGCGTCCAGAGGCCCGACTACCACCGGCCCAGCTACGCGGGGACGGCCTCAAGGCCCACGCAACCGCCCGACCGGCCGGCCACCGGAATAGGAGTCATAAGACCCATTCCCAACACTCCCCCGGCGTCCTTACCGCAATCTACCTCGGGCGACAGTGCCGGATTCAGAGGTACAAGGGACGGAATGCAGGCGAAGTGTGGCGTTGCCCCAGGTTTTCTAAGGAGCATGCATGCAGATCAACATGACACCAAGTGATTCAGTTAATGAATGTATCACTCTTAAATGCTTAATGGTTTCGCTAAAGGGCCATGGTTTTTCTAAGGGACGTGCATGAAATTATTTATGACTCAGAGTGGTTCGGTGAATGACGTCATCACTTTTACATGCTTCAGATTTTCCTAAGGGTCCATGGTTTTTCGGAGCATGCATGAAAATATTGAGATCTCGGAGTGCTTCAATGGATGAAGTAATCACTTTCAGATGCTTAATGAGCTTATTCCGCAATACAAAAATTTAAAAATGACTGCAATACAATGACGTTTCATTACGAGTTGACATGATATATTTTTACAAATTATTCTTATCATCTATTATTGGAAGTTCTGGTATTGTTACTAGATATTTTGAAGTAAATGCAGATACATATCTTGATCACAAAAGCTCTTAATTCTTCATTTGGCGAGCTCGCATCACGAATTGTTATATTGAACACTGCATGCGTTTTGCCCAAAATGGTGAGATCTTACAAGATGCAAGGACATAAAAAATTTACAACACGCAATAAGCTTTTAATCTCCGAGTCAACCACGCTTCGTAGTAAAGTCTCAAGCACTGCACTCAAAACAACGTGTATTTAGACTCGCAAAGTATTAAGATCGCAAAAAATGTGAAGAATATTTTTGGTACATTTAACTTCAAAATATCTTTGAGAAGATTGGGTGGATTTAAGAAATAAAGAACTACTGAATTTAAATTAATGGAAATTGGTTGAGTGCTATTTTCGTCTTGCAAAACCGAGTAAGGTAAATTGACTTGCTGCACATTTCCTTTTTCACTTGCACAAAAATGCACAGTCTAAGGCTATCGCTACAAACAAATGCATGGCATGAGAAGGAACATCTAAGAAAAGTGGAAGATTCTGCACATATTATGCACTTTTCCATTCTCAATTTTACTCAAGACCTAAAGACATATAAAGAAGACATTACATCTGAACTATCCTTAAAATATGAGGACTATAATATTAAATATCAATGCTGGACGACTGATTCACGTACTGTGACAAAACCGAAACTGATTCGCCTTCAGGGATCTTTACTGCACAAAAAAAGAACAAAGTGAGCTTGGAATGATCTTTGATTGCACACTGTCTACATGAAAATTGGCACGACGCACTTGGGACAGCACTCGTTTGATATCTTCATCTTTCCCAGAAAACATATTTTAAAATATTACTTATCGCTTGTCAACATTTACACATTTATCAAGAATAAATATTCTATGAAATGGAAAAAACATATCTCTTTAATAATCTGCTTCGATGCTTCTTTCAATTTTTTGACAAGAGTAATTTTCTACTAAAATATATGAGAATTGTATCTGATAAATTCTTGGCACTTATTTTTACACTTCATTTAATAAATAACTTTAAGGTTAGAATGGATATATATTTAATTATGTATTGTTTAAAGTGTAGAATAACAGATTGGCATTTTTATTTATAGAAGTAATCATATATTATTCAAACAACCCAATGTTTACAATTTCTAGTCAAATTCCAGTCTGCTTATAATATTTGATTTCGATCCATCTTCAATTTCAAACATTCAACGTTATTTTCCTGTACATTAATTACCTATTTGATGTGCTTTAGGCTGTGGTGAGCTGTACACGCGCAGCAACAGAATTGTCGGTGGGCACAGCTCCAACTTCGGAAGTCACCCGTGGCAGGTAAGCCTTACTCGTGTCACTCGTGGCAGGTAAGATCATGTTAACAGCCACCCAACCACCCTCATCTCCTACAATGACTGTCTCTTTAGTCAGTACAAACATTTTTTTTTTGTTATTTAAGGTCGCATCAACTTCTAGGTCATTAGCAACCACTATTGCTTGTAACGGTATGGTAACTGTGAGGATGACACGGCATGATGATGATGATGATGATGATGATAGTGGGTGAAAGGACGAACACAATACAACCATGCCCGAGGCGGGACTTGAACACGCGATCCTTCGGTCCGAGATCGCTTGGTCACTACTGCCTTAGCGATCTCGGCCACCGGATCTGCAATTGAAACATTGATTCAATTAATACACACTATATCGATTGACTAATTCATAATTATTCATCAGTTTTCATTATTGTATCTGACAAATGAAGTGCTATTACAACATATTTTCTAAAAACATATTCAGGGACTTTCTGTGCAGAACAGTTGTTAGCATACTTGTCACAATTATAGAACTGAAAATAATACATACAAAACGTTATAAAATAGTATCGCTAGACCTTTACAGACAGATATACGCCAGAAATATACGGCATACACCATGCGACATATACGACAGACTAATAAAAGCATATCAAAGAATACAAAATAGCCGCGCCAGCGCGAGCGGAATGGCGTCTTAATCATAACCTCAAACATACAATGCGCAAGGACGCTTTGTTATGAGTGTTCAACGACACGTTGAAGATCCGAACTTCGGCCTAGGCAATTAATTATACATATTTGAGCCTGTATAACGCACAATTTTCAATTTTTGTTCAAACCATGTAAAGAGAATTTCATTGTCATTGGAACTACGTAACAAGTATTGTACTTCAGCTTCTGGCTCAATGACCCCCATCTCGATCAGGTTTTCATCCAGTTTTCTTCATCCTCGAGCAAATGCCCTTTTTTTTCTGAACATAAATGTAACTTCAAATTAACTTCTCCCCATAACACGTCATACACAGTTTTTAACTGTTTTTGACGTAAATAAATAAAAATAAATAATAAAGCGCTCCTTTCCACAACTCGTTCTTCGTTTTCGTTCACAGATCTCGCGACGTTTTAAACTATTCATATAGTTCGCAAGGGAATCTGTACACGAACAAAAACACTACATCTTGTTGCTGATGGGCATGAAAGTGGAAAGAAGGAATTCTATGACTTCTTCCACACATGGTTCATGCGACCCTACCTCCAGTCCAAAAGGCATCTTGCTGTCCCCAGGTCGCGCTGATCAAGACGGGCTTCCTCTCGAAGAAGCTGGCGTGCGGGGGTGCACTGCTCAACAACCGGTGGATCATCACCGCAGCACACTGCGTCGCCACGTGAGTAAAGGCTTTCTGTAAAGAAATGAGCAGGCTCTTGCGTACCGTATCCGTCTTCAGCCAATGAGCTTTAGGCACTAGTTTGCGTCAATTTTAGCGGGAATTTTAAATGCCAAAACTAATCATGCAAGTCATTCAAACAGAAATAAATACGCATCTTTTCTAAATATTGCATATTTTATTTCAATTATTCCTTCATCGTGTTATCTTTGGTTGGTCACTTTATGCCACGTTCAAAATGTTTCTCAACACTTCTCGCTCTCCATGCAACATGGCGACCAATGTCTGGTCTGGCTTTCCAAATCACGTGCCCATGTTATGGTCACGTGGTTCGTGTCGCAAACTGGTGCTGCGCAGTACGAGCAAAACTCGGTGCCCCAGAGGAGCCCATCCATGTCTTTCCATGACTAAAAACCCACGAGCTTCCCAACGCGCTCTGGGAACAGGTGAACAGCGTTCGCGCCTCACATATGTTCCCCGTCGACTAACACGTCGTTCTGTAAATTAAAGGCTTTCTCCCACGTTTTGTTCCCACATTTATTATTAAGAAGTATGTGAGTGCCACTCTTCGCCATTGTTCGGAATGTTCTTTGATGTAGAGTATTTGGCTAAATCTTCTTGACGCAGATGTTTTTCGAAGGTACGTTTTATTTTATGTTGGGAAAAATGGATGTATCTTTTCGTGGTTGCAATATGTTGTTCATTTTAATCTTGTGTACTCATTTATCTTTTGCAACACCATCACCCAATATTATGCCTCGTATTGAGAGCAAGACACATTCAATGAAAAAAAAGATTAATAATATTTTGAGTGGTGAAGCTCGTATATTTGGACCGTTTCCCCTTGTTCCTTCACACAATATTCAACTCGTTTCCTCTCACCGTATTCCTTTTCCGTCTCTTTCCTTATCTTCTTGCCTTTTCTTCAGTTGCACACCTTTCGCCGGCCAGATGAACCATGTCATATTCTGGGGCTTCCGATATCTCGTGTTCTAAGCAGCGGCGTCTGTTGCAGAACAAGCAACAGCAACATGCGCGTGCGGCTGGGCGAGTGGGACGTGCGCGACCAGTCGGAACGGCTCAACCACGAGGAGTTCGGTGTGCAGCGTAAGGAGGTAAGCCCCAATCGCACTCAGCCCGCCCCGCTCTTACTCTTACTTTTTTTGTGCATATGCAAAAAACCGACGAAGTGGCTAAAAACGAAGCGCGCTAACTTTGCATTCCGGAGGCCCGGGTTCGATTCCCGTGCCGGCCACCCTGACCGGAGTTTTCGTGATTTCCCTCGGTCATGCAGACGAATTCTGGGAAACCGGGGTTGCTAGCCGAATTCGTTAACTTCGTGAAGTCACAAAGGATAAACGAATTAAAGATATCGTGTGGTTCTGGTTGGGTGACTTACTAGGAACCCCGGGATCTAACGGTGCGGTTGCCATTTTACTTGACATATAATGGCTAAATACAAATATATAGGAAATTATGAAATACTCCAAAAAACCGTTGAACCGAAAAAGTGTCGTTGTTTTGTTTGTTTTTTTTTTTGTTATATTTTTTTCATCATGTTAGGTTGCCTGACTGAAACAGCACTATCGCTAAAATGCACTTGCAATGTTTTCTTAACATCAGTAAATTTCGCGTAATTTGGAATCAAGTGTCAATCACAATTACGCAACCAAATTTTCTTGAAAACGGCTCTAAAGTCTTTCTTAAACATTCTTGTACATATAGACCACAGTTCGTATTACATATAAGTGTCATTTTCTTTAAAACTTCCAAGTTTTAAAACAATATATTTCTAATTTTATCCAATTTTCTCGCGAGCTTTAAATTTGTACATTGCAGACACTATTCTTAATTTTATGCTCCCGAGGGTGCTAGCAATTTAAATATCTAAGTTAAAGAATCTTAGAGGTTTAGATGTTCAAAATATTAACGAGTGAGTATGACATAATTAATGAAAAAGTGAGACTTTGATTTCACAAGTTACAGAATTTAAATATATTTACATCCAGTAATAAATATATTTGAATATCTCATCATTAGGCAAATCAAAGATAACACTGATCTCAGGCAGAATGTTTCCCAGAACCTGTTCAAAATTTGTATTCAAAATTTCATGGGAATCTCAATTCTCATTGGGGAACTTTTAATTACTTCTAGGAGTAACAATATCTTACTGTGACTTCACATTTTTGCAATAAATGAATAAATATTATATCAATATTTTATGGAATATTAGATGTCTTATTTGACCTTAAACCACATTTTCTGCCATCTGATATTGACAATCACAACGTCACTTTCATTGTTTGTAATGGTATGCAAACTTTTATAAAAATGTTTTACGAAGCTGACTGAAAATGATCACCATTACTGTGAATATGGCCAGTCATGCTTCCATAGTTAGTGCGGGAGCGGGAAAATTTAAAGTTCAGTGTACTTTGTGTTCGTTGAACTAAATATAAACATTTAATAATATTCATTCAGTCCTATTATCCGAGAACATAGACCGAAAAACTTTCGGATAAATATTCTCAGATAAAATGGATTTAATGCTAAATGACAAAAAGGAGTTTTTGTATTTGATAAATGATGGCGGAAGTTTACTGTTTTTAAGAAGATGGCGCTTAAGCGCTGCGGTAAATTTGAAATCTAAAACTCTTTTTCAGAAAACATTTTTGAATTTTCAAAAACTTTCATATGACGTCTTTTGAAGCACTTTAACTCACAAATACAATAGTGTTAACATGCTGAAAATGTACATATTAACGGCGTGAAAAATCCTTTTAAAAAATTAAGTTTGTGTAATTTTTGAAAATACAAAAAGTACTTCGAAGTGAACTATACGTAATATTAAAGAGTGCAATTATCACTATCTGTTCGAAAAGTTTTTTAAAAAATTTGGAGCCGTTTTTGAGAAGATGGCGCTTGAGCGTTTCCAAAAATGCGGAATTCGGGGATAGTTTTCACAGAAAACGATTGAGTTGAGAGAAACTTTATACGGCTAAATTTAAAGCACATATATACATAAATATAATGAATTGAACAAATCGCCGCTAGTATAAATATTAACTAGTATTAATATTGACGAAATATTAGAGATAAGTCAAAAATTATACTTTTTTAATTTTTTTAATAACAAAAGAATACATAATATGGCGTTCATGTCATCTTGTAGAATGAATATACGTGTATCACTCCGTATATACGTACGTATACGGGAAAGTAAAAAGTATCCGGTACATCAAACGATTTAAAGATGTAATATAGAATGATTGCAAAAAACAGTCTATATCTTCAATAATATAGATGTAGAAGAGATTCGAAAACCATATTGGAACATTTGGAATTATTAACATTTTAGGAGTTTTGGTGAAAATTTGGCTTATTTCGTATTTACAAGCACACTTTATTCGAGCAAAAAAAATTAAGTTGCTTTTGATAGAATATTGTTTACACATATTTTTTGTAAAATTTTCATAATTTGAAACGAATTCTATTTTGAAATACTTTCATTCTATTTTGAAATACTTGTACATGAAATCAAATTTATTATTTTTTATGTAATTTTCAAAAATAAAAAATATACGAATGAGCTATTTCTTGTGTTTGTTCTAATCGAAAACATGGAGTATTTTTTTATAAAATTGTGAAAATGTTCTGAGCGCTTTATTTAAAGTATATCCAATCAATAAAACATATATTTCAAATCCACATAACCATAGTACACACATATTAATTTTGTTTTATTGGCCGCTACTGTAAGCAACTTACTATGGAGGCAGGACGTAGACTTATTTCAACAACTACAGAATATGAAATTACACAAGACATCTGCTTGTGAAAGTAAAGCTAGATTGCATTTATCTTTTATAAAAGTAGATTATACTTCTGACGACGGGCGAATTATATTTAAAGGGACGACCCGTCTCTAATGCAGCACCTGGCGATAGCCAACGACAGACGACAAAGGAGGTGAAATTGAGGTAACTGACCTTAATGCGTAGATTCTGTGCCTCTTTCCCTCTGCTGCCCTTCTCTCTCTCCCCATTATTAGCCGACAATTTTTCCTTTGCCTCTATTTTTGGCACTTCGCTGCCACTAATTTCCTCCAACTGCCACCATGCGTGGCTTGGGCAGTCACATTCAGATTCATGGTTCGCTCGACCCTACAAGACAAATGCAAAGCTTTAGAAATTATGAAAAATATAGATTTTCTTTCAGAAGCACATGTCTGTAATTCCGTGAGTCTTCTTCCTGAAGAATATACAAGAATATATTAGTTGCCAGAAAGAAAGACTTAATAGTTGGGTTATATGCTTATGAAAAATGATATCTAATGAGGACACGTGATGACCATGGCATCCCATGTGTAGTAGTTCATTATGTTTTAGGTATTTCAAATAAAGTTTCATTTATATCCTGTTTCATCGATCCGCAACCTTGTTAAAATTAACTGCACACCTTGAAAACATGTTTACATGATGGTCTACCCGTTTAAAAAGAGTCCCGTCTTGAAGGAGTTATACTGATTTATTAAATATCTCATATTAAACCAATTTGAAAACATTAAAGATGCCTATAATTTGTCTTTTATTCCTAAAAATATATTAAGGTACTAGAATTCACTCTTTTTGGAATATTGTCTTCTCCAGAGGCGGGCTCGTGTTTTCCCAACAGGGCAGTCATGTTCTTGCACTTGCCCAGCAAACAAGGCCATTCCAAATCATCGCGGCGGGCAGGTGAAGATATTTCAGCGCGGAAACGTTGCTGGCAGCTCGATAAATGTATTAGAAGAAACAGAAGAAGCTTTTTTTTATTTCAAACAGATTTAAACGTGCCTTACACACGCTAGTAAAAGGGTGAGCACACGCTGTGATCTCTCAGACGCATGCATTGAATTTGAGGTTATCTTGCTTCATAATCTATTAAGAGTAGGAACAAGATACTATATGTTTGACAGTTAGATCAGTTGTTAATTGTACTACACGCTCCTGTCTACGATATGCTGCGAGACGCACGATTTGATTGAGACTAATCTGGTGACGATAACTTAAAGCCTGTATGCACTCACTGGAGACTATAATATTTGAGAACAATACCAGAAAGGTCTGAGAACGTCAGTGTTCTCAAAAATTTCTATGACGAGCTATAACCGGAAAAAGAGCTCAGACATATGAAAGATCGACCGCGTGTGCCGCAGGGCATCTTATGCAATGCTTAGTTTACGAAAATCATATACATACTAATAGAAAATATACAAACAGTTATTAAAACCGCTTATTAAATAGTATATTGATTAATTCGTAATAAAAAGTTGTCAAATAGAATTACTATACTAAAATCTTTATTTATGACGTAATTTCATTATGAGTTCATCTGTAGTTGAAACAACAATTGATGAGGAGAACTGATAAGGAGAGAACACTTCAAAGTGTGGTCAGATATCACTTCTATGGTCTGATTTCACTCTCTTCAGATAAGAAAATGAAGAGTAAATGGACCTATTGAAATATTGCGGTGATTGCAACAGTCATTCTACCAACAGAATATGCAGTTCCGAATTTACTTAACTCCATTTCCGACACTGTCAAATCTTGAAAATGAAAACTCTCTTATTTCAATGGCATCAGCTTGGAAATGTGACAGCCATCAATACCAATACATTAACGTATTTGAAGCACCTTCCCCAACTACCACCAATCGTAATGCCAATGCTCGTAACACGTATTGTACCTCAGTTTCTGGATCAATGACCCCATCACGATCAGGTTCTTCGTACAGCTTCCTTGATCTTTGAGCATATGCTGAGATAGCCGCTTGTTTTTAATGGACATAAACAAGCTTCACTATCCCTGCACGTTGTGTTGAGCTCAGTGGGGAATGTAGATATTCAAATCACCGTTTACCATTTTGTCGTGACAGTAAGTCGATTTCGTCACAAAGAGCATGATAAAAGATAAAAGCCAGAATCTGTAGCTGATTTGCCTTTGCAAATATTTTCACACCAATTCTTGCCAAAGAGGCGAAATGTTACATTTTTTTTCAGAATTCAACTTAATATGTGTATGAGTTAGGACAGAGGTCTCAGAGAGCGAGAAACCGTGCACAACCGTTCGCACCTCGTGTCTCTCAGCGCCGATGCCCGTGTGTGCGGTCCCTTTTTTGTTGCTCTTGCCCCAATGTTGGCGTTCGTGCTCGGCCCTGATGAACACGCGCCGATCTCCCACTTCCCCATGCTGTGCCTACCATCCTCCCCTCGCGTACCAGAGTGTCACGTGCGTGTCTCCCTGCGCAGGTGCACCCGCAGTACAGCCCGCAGGACTTCCGCAACGACGTGGCGCTGGTGCAGCTGGACGGGTCGGTGGCCTTCAAGCCGCACATCGTGCCGGTGTGCCTGCCGCCCGTGGACGCCAAGCTGGTCGGGCGCACGGCCACCGTCGCCGGCTGGGGCCGCACCCGCCACGGCGTCGCCACCGTGCCCTCCGTGCTGCAGGTGACGCCTACGGCGCTCAGCGAAGGAACGGGTGGATGATGAATGCACGAGTGAACGAACAAATGAATGTTGAAACCAATTCATTCATTAATTATGAATGATTCACGAATCAATGAATGAAGCTGCATCATAAATGACGAATGATAAATGAAATAATTCGTTCTTATATAAATTTAAAATAGTGTATTTATGCCTGCATTTAGATTCAGTTTACATGTTCGTGTATGCAACGCATAGATACGAAAACCAATGTTTACCACGCAATTTTATTATTCTTTCAGTATGATATCCTGAATATTGTACATAAGTTACCGTAATAATAACAATAATAATAATGCTATCATAAAGAATTGCAAAATTACAAAAATATATATTTGTTTCGTTTTGAATGAGAAGAACTATTAGATGATCGATCTCCGCAGAGAGCTGGGCATATTTGGTTTTTCAACAAAAGGCAATGGTAAATTACGCATACTATTTCATTAAACCTTTCATCCATTCATTGTTTCTACATTAATTATTGAAATAATCATCATATCTTAAATGTCAAACGGACTCAAATTTCGTTTTTCTAAGAACCTGTCTTTGTACAGTTGTTTTTTATGAACACTGAGACTTTATTGTTTTAGTCTAAAAAATAATAGTTTATCCTATTGTATTGCATTTTTGTTTGACCATTACCTGCAGTTGTAAATTTTGGAAACGTTTTTATTTGGAAACTCAAAAGATTCAAAATAGATGTGTACCTTCAGTTAACGGATTCATATACTTGTTTCTACCCACAATACGCTCCCACAACGGTTGTCTTTTACAGCTTTACATTTACAGTCACTGTTTTACACGTATTTTTGTAACTTGAATATTGTGTAATAGAATAATACAATTTTCCATTTATTAGACAGTTGTACTTTTGTTTCTCTTTGCACAAGATTGACTTGATTGATTGTGGCTTTAGGTTACGTTATCAGTTATGTTCATTGATTCTCAGGGATGATAACAGAGGGAAATAGGAAGGTGGGTACGCACAGCGCTGTCCATGTCCGTTGTACAGGAAGTTTCTCTAGGATATGCCAGGAAGTGGCCTCAGAAACTACGGAAACCATTGACAAGGGCGGTCGGCCTTTAATTCGATTCCGGCGCCGCTACAACCCCTCCCCACCTGCGGTAACGCCCATGTGAGCAAAACTCAAGCCCTTTCCCGCGACCGAACCCGCGACCTCCCAAACATCAGTATACTCTACAGCATGGCGCACCGCTAAGATCGTTGCCTTTACAACGGAAGAGATATTTAAAATCTTTGAAGTTTGTAAGAAGGTGGACTTTGTTGTTTACAATCCTGTAAATAGAATTTAAAAGTCAAAATGTCCATTTTTTTTAAAATATCTGAAGTAATAATTACACGTTTATAATAATTACCTGGGTTGCATTCCCAATAACGTTCTATTTGCTCATGATTCACTGATACAATTCAGAGATTCACAAATGATTCAGATGAGGATTGTTGAATACTTCTTTCCAATCTTTTATACTTTGTGCTTCTCATTTCTTCTGAAATCACCTTGTTAAACTTCGGATCCGGGGCTGAATATGATCGGTAAAACCAAAACCTCTCTTTAAAATAATCGAAGTTCACCAACCACTTGTCAGAAAATATTTAATTTTTCTTAAACCAAATTTTAAGAAATTTTGACCCTTTCCTTCCGTAATCATAAGAGAAATGAGAGAGGAGAAAAAGCATTCGAGACTAATTTTCCGCTAAGAATATTACAATTTTTCTTTGAAATGTGCTATGGTTACTGAACCTAAAAAAATACAAAATTCAATGGTGATACTAACAATATTGTTACTGCCTCCGAGTTTATACTACCAGAACAAGTCTATATGGAGAGCAATTCCAGACTCAAAGAAAAGTTTCAAGGATATCTGGCTCTAGGAAAATTTTGTGGATCATCAGCTCAAAAATGTTTTCTCTGGTTAAACATAGGGATAATCAAAAAACAGGTATCAGTGAGTATTGCTTATGTTTGCATGTGGTTGTGTGTACATTGTATTGTTTCCCTTTATTTACACACTTATCGACAGGCATAATTAGTTTGCAGCAAACCTCATCAAGGCAAGGTAAGTAACACTAGGTTTCATAAATATATACTTCTAATTACACTCAGCCTCCGTTTAATAACACAATTCCCGTCAGCGAGAAATATAAATAAAAACTCCAAAGTAGATTTAACCGTTCAGCTAGAATTTTAAAATTTCTTGAGACCCATCTATTCTCTAGAAGAATCTACATATGTTTATCGCTGAATGCTCTTTGTTTCCAGGAAGTGGACGTGGAGGTGATTCCGAACGACCGCTGCCAGAGGTGGTTTCGCGCTGCCGGGAGACGTGAAACAATACACGACGTCTTCCTGTGTGCAGGATTCAAAGAAGGAGGCCGCGACTCGTGCCAGGTAAAACACAAGAGATCGCGCTCTCCAAGAGTCCATTCAAATAACCACGAAAGGGAATGCAGGCACAGACTTTCCCGTATCAGTTTTCTATTTCCTTTGGTCTCGGTTAGCTGCTCGGAGTTGCCACATACTCTTACTAGCTGCTATCCATCGCTGCCCAAAGTACATTTTTTGACATTTTCTTAAATTTTCGATTTCCTAATTGTAGGAAGTAAATATTATTTTAAGTTTATTAAAGAAAAGTAAAATCTAGTCCTAAATGACAATTTTCTTTGAAAAATTTGGAGCCGTTTTTAAAAAAAACTGCGTTTAAGCGCTACTGTAAATGCGAAATTTCAATCTCTTTTCTCAAAAAAATATTGTGTTTCCGAAAAACTTTATATGCAGTAATTTCAAGCACATTAAGTTACAAATAAAATAGTGTTTATAAATCGCTAAAAATGTGCATACTCAATCCATGAGCGACATTTCAAAAAATATATTAGTGTAATTTTAAAAAAACGAAATGAACTTTACGTCATATTAAAGAGTGTAATTAGCACTATCCCTTCGAATAGTTAGAAGAAAAAATTTGAAGTCGTACTTAAGAAAATGGCATTTGAGCGTTTCTGAAAATGTGGAATTTTCAGCTACTCTTCACAGAGGTTACGTTTTCGACAAACTTTTATTTGACATTATTTAAATCACTTGTACTCATAAATATAATAATGATAACAAATCAACGCAGTATAAATATTATCGACGTGACAGGCAAGTCAAAAATTTATTTTTTGTATTTTTTTTTCAACAAAACAATAGAGTAATATGGCGTTTATGTCATACTATACAGTACATTTAGCACTATCCACACCAGAGGTTTGAAGAAAAAATGGAGCCGTTTTTTATAACTACTGTTATTGTAATTTTGCACGCAATATTGCGCGAAAACTACTAAAATTTTCAAAAAACTCTACATGCCCTTGATGAAACTATGGAGAATGGAGAACTATGGAGAACAAATTGAATTTGAAGGAAAATCTCTATCTTTAATTTTGTATTTGTAGGAAGACGCTCATACTTTTGAAATTTTCGAAAATCAGAGAAAATAGAACTTGTGCCACTTTTATAAGTGTATGTTACTCTATTCTTACAAGAAATTTAAAGAAAAAATTTGGAAATGTCCGTCTGATCTGAGAAAGTTTTGAAAATGTCCCCCGGGTTTAATGAAAAGCACCCTCAAATTATAAAGAATGTTATTCAAAATCTCAGAGTTTTGACTCGAGCCAGATACACAGGGGTTTCTTCAATCTGTAAAAAATCGTACAGATGATTTAGACGCTAGCAGTGTTCACAGGTACCAGCCAGCGGACGGACAGATAGATGTTTTGAAAAAACGTTTTTTTGGGTATCAGGGGACCGCAAAACATGTATTTTCGTCGAAATCTCGAAATCGATTTTCCGCAGCATTACATAACTTTTCCTATGCTACGTATATTACTTCGTATTTACGTACGTATACGGCAAAGTAAAAATGACTCCAAAGAACTCTCGATTCTCTTGTGCAAAGAAAGTTTCCGCCTCTAGCAGATTACGATTTTCCGTGGATAGCCTTAAAAGTCCAATATATATCATTTCAAAATCGGCTCATTTTCCATTTGAAATCCTCAAAATAAATCTATACTAGCTTCTTGAACATTTTCTCAGTGCTTTCTTCGTACATCAGATTAATTGAAGTAATCGCGGGTTATTGACGAACAAAAATACATAGTCTAAACTCATGTTCTGAAGTAAATATTTAAAGTATATTTTATTCTTTAATTAATAATTAGCTTTGTATTGTTTAAACTTTTTAGGAATCCAAATACGGCTTTTTTCGGTTCAATGAAGATCACTGCTTTTTCTGAAATTATATAAGAATCTCCGTGGAAATACCATTCGCTTTACAGTAGTGTATGGTTGGTTGCCTATCTAACTGTATCGTGATTTTATGCGAGTTCGTCATTCGTTTAGGTTTTAATACAACTCATCCGTATTTCTTAATCTATAATGAAACGATACTGTTAATTTTTCTATTAGATATTTAAATCCATTTTTCAAAATATATCTCCAAGAAAAGAAATGTTTACTACACATAGCTAAGAATTGCTCGAACGATAGAATTCCATCTACCATATTAAAAACAGTATGCACGACCTCCAACCCGGTTTCAACAATGTTATCTTAGTGGTCCCCTGAGAGATTAACAATAGACATACTTTTATCAATCTTCAGGAAATACGCGTCAAAAATAAAAAAAATTAATCCTCAGTTCACTTATTTCCAATGTTTCATTAATTTTCGCCCATCCCTGGTATTTCGTTCTTCTTTCCTTGTGTTTCGCACATGGACAGGCGCCGTACACCATGAGCGTAATGCTTCCCCGCTTCTTCCCGCACCTTTCTGTAGCGAACTCAGTAAGCTGAGACCGCTTTATATTACTGTGGGCGCTCAGGCTTTCAGGCTGAGTATTTTTATTTGTTATTATTTTGTTTTCGTTTTAATATTTATTATGACTTTATAAACACGGTCACTGTAATCTGAAATTTTGTTGCCCACGTATTTTCTTTCAGAGATTACTAAACCAGTTTTAAAACATAAAGTCGATATTAAAAAACATAATTTTTATCGATTTTAACATCGATTATTGGTAACATTAATATTTTGTTACCACTAACTGACACCACCAATAGAATTCCGTACCGGCAGCCACCGCTTCAGACTTAGCAGTCGCATCATCTGCTAGGAATTATGAATACACCCCTACGTCGTCAGCATTTCATGGACATCTACTAATTGCAAACTGCAGCCCACAGAGAGTTCAAAATAAGTGGTTCTAACAGGTATTAGTAGCTCTCTCTCCGATGGTAAAATCATACACATCTCAAAGTATATGACTTCACGTTCTCTTACGTGAAGATTACAGAACTGACGATTGTTTTGTAGTGTACAAAAAAGTGTAGATTAGTATAGAACGCTATCATATATCTTCGATACACTTAATATTTCAATAAAACCTGTAAAAGTGGGCGAGTCCTTCACACAGTCCCTGCACCCTGCACCCCACGTCAACCGACTATGATAAGCGAAATGTGGCTACCGTTGGCGGAATTGCCGAGATCTTTAAATAACCGAGACGTAGAATACTCCTGAATAGAATTCTTGCGGGGGGTTGTTTTAATCGTTTGCTTCCATGGTTCCCTTGGATCAATTTCAGGCAGCACTCCAGTTCGCTTCTACATATATAAATATTAGCCTTACAGACAAAATCACTCGCAATACAACGCATACGTCAGGGAATTTTGGCTTAAAAATGGTACGATTGTGACCATGTAGAAACGGGTCATGGAGAGGAAATTCGTGTTCACATACATTGCCAAATGCTTTCACTTCCTAGCATTCAAGACAATCATGCCACAGTACAAAAGATCATTTGCAGTTGTTGTGCCGTAAATCATGAAAGTCAAGAATGCCTCGCACCTTCATTGCAACATGATTCCCTCCATGCGTATCAATGTTTTCCTTGTTTTTGTTTTGTAGAGAAGCCCACGCATGCAATCGTTTTGGGTTATTGCACGAAATGTTAGCTCACCTTCAGAGAGTTTTAGAAGGCCACAAGACATAATTTTAAGAAAAAGTATTAAAACATCTAAGTATTTAATTATGAAAAGTGCATATAATATAGAATTTCAGAAATACTTCTACGACAAGGAGGTACTTTTCTTTACCATTAGATGTCAGTGACTTAAATAATTGATAGACACGTTTTAAGAAAATAAATCAATAAATTACGTGACATTTTATATTTAGGAATGATTTTAATAATCTACTCATTTAATAATCTTTAATTTTAAAAACATTTTTATGCTGAATATTCTGTTCTTCCCCACGATCTAGATCCAGAGTATAGATCAGTTCACAACATCAATGTTCAAATGAATTTTCAAATTAAGACCGACGTCGTTAGCCGAATTGCTTAAATACATTCTGTGAAGTCACGGAAGTTAAGTAGTTCGAGACATCACGGATTCCTGGATGAGTGACCGTCTGGAAATCTCGGTTATTAACGGCGCCGAGTCTCTGACCCAAGGGAAAAATGCATCAACTGACTGCGACGCCACGAGACGAACGAGAAATAATTTAACGGAGGATTATTCCAATATTGAGGATTACTCCAATGTCCAAAAAGGGCAACCAAGACGTGTTGCGAAAAGACGCAACGAATTAAGAGAAAACGTTGGAGGTGGAATGAATGCAATGTGAAATTACAGACCGGGAGAGATGGCTCAGAGCATCAATTGATATCACTGCTGTGCCTCTCAGCGGTTCGAGTCCCGATGCTGGCAGAATTTTCGACACTGACTAGATAGCTAGTGTTGAATTCAGTTGCAGTCTGGAGAATTCTAGTAGCTGGCGGCTCTTATCGACAGTTCTCCATGGTTTCTCCGATCAACACCAGTGGATGGAACAGAACCCTAACAAACGGGCCATGGACCGCGCGCGATCTTTCCTTCCTCTCCCTTGTCCTATCCTCACCCTTTCATACACATATTTATATTTACATGCAATACACAACTACACATGTCGCAGGCCGGTCGGGAACTTAGAGCTTGTCCCGGCTGGGGCTGTGCCCCATTGGTGGGAGATCCCTGGTTGGGGGCAAGCCTCTAGCCGCCGGTATGTCGGCGCCCGATCTCACCATCTAACGCGGTACGATCATTGCCCCCTCCCGAGAATATACACTAAGCTCACGAGACGAATGACATGGCAGTTGACGTGCCTGGAGCCACTTCAATCAATCAGTGAAATGACAGATGTTTGCGCTCCCCAGGGTGACTCCGGCGGCCCCCTCACGATGCAGCTGGAAGGGCGCCGCACACTCGTGGGGCTCGTGTCCTGGGGCATCGGCTGCGGAAGGGAGCACCTGCCGGGAGTGTACACCAACGTGCAGAAGTTTGTGCCATGGATCACCAAGGTTATGGGCTAACCCTTCATAACAGGTTCGCTACACAACATTCGACTTTTGAGAAAGAATAAATGTCCCAAAGGTTTCGTAAGCGTTTGTTTGTTTGTTTTTGCGCCTTCTTTGGTTACTCGTGATTTGGACACATTCGAATGTGCAATATTTGTCTATATTGCTGTTCTTCTTTGTGGAGTGACGGGTGCTTGTTGGCAACTCAACATTTAAATGAATTTTCGTACAATTGAAGTGTCGAAACTCTGAGAAAAAATGTTCTTGAATTATAATTGACATTTTGCGTGTTAATATAGTGATCCAAATGTGAACTTAGTGATTAAAGTAAACAAAACACATTGTTAATAATTATCTTTCAAATAACCTTTTGTAATCTCTTGACAGGTTGAAAGTAATAAATGTTCTATTACTGTTTTACTAAAGCAAATAGAATATAATTGCATAAAACTGGAGATTGAAGGGGACTTAATGAAATATGAAAAGATAAAAAAATGTATTTATTCAATGGATAATCGTCAAAATGAGAACTGAATGTATTGAATGCATGCTTGTTTTCTACATTGTATCTGTAATAAATTGCAATGTGCAAGTTCATTGAAGGTTTTAATTGAAACATTCAATTGCAAGTCAAGAAATTAGGAAACTTTATGTGGTTCTAATGTCAGCAAAAGTATTTCAGTACGAGATGTATCTTCAACAGATTTATGTACACGAATTGTAAGGAAGAGAAGGAACAGCGAAAGTATTTATGCAAAACTATAATGAATTACAATGGTTTAAAGAGAGAGTGAATTATTATTTTGAATAATACACACCTAATGAGTAATCGTTTGAATTATCTACGTCATAATTTTCTTAATTTGTCCCTAGAGATGTTTATATACCTAATAATCGTTTAATTATTAATATTAAATATATGGTACGAGATTGGGTATATCTATTTAGTGTACTCAAAATTGCGAAGAGTGATTTTATCACGTAGTATGTATTTTACCCCTTAATACATTTTATTTAATTGCTTTAGCTACACTTAAAAACTGCGTATTGAACAAATATTACCAATTTCAAGAAGTGTTTCATATGCAATAATTGACAAAATTGTAAGATGCGTAGAGTTATTATAAGATGAGTATAATGTTTTGCTAAGAGAAATGCTTATATGATATCAAGTGCTTTATATTCATACGTTTGTTGTATTTCCTCCAAGGTCTGTTTTCTTAGTATATTTTTTCAAATAGTTCGTTTAATTTCAGCAATTGATGTAAAATTATTCAAGCAATGCAGTATTTAATTCTTTATCTTCCTCATACCACAATGTATATCCACGTATGCGTTCACAAAAAAATCGAAGTATAATGAAATGTGAGTAAAAAAAGTGCATTTTAAATGACAAAAATTGTAAATATGCAGGTGATACAACACATATGGAACATTACATGTATATATTTAAACATTTGGACGCAAATGGATTTGACACAATACTTGTACATGAAATGAAACAATGAGACGAGATGAAACATGTAAGATGAAACATTCATTATGAAATGTCACCATTCTCTAGAAAACCAAATATACAAATATTGAGTAGTTATTTAATAGATTTGTAGAAGAATATTTTATATATTATTGTACATATGACAACAGTAGTGTACATTTTAACGCACAGATTAAAAATGTACATGATTAAATGAACAGGAATTATAGATATTTTTTAGAAATAAAAATGATGTAACTTCATTTTTCATTTCAATGTTCAAGAATTTAAAAAACAATGTTTATTAAACTAGTTAGTTTAATCCTTAACATAATTTAAAATGTTCTGAAAGAACTAAATTCAATACAATACTTCTTGATATTACTTCAAGAAGGTAAATGACAACCAATACAACTAGCACCTCTGACGATAACATTTGCAAAATGCAGATATTTCACAGAAGCATATATAACATAAAAGGTCAATGATTAGAATATCTTATAATTCCCAGAACGTAATTGAGAGTAGCCTTTGAACATTGAAAAAATAACATAATTTACTCGTTTGATAAATGCTTGTTTGAATACATATTGTGAATAAGTATTCAGGATTAGTTAGATTGTACTGGGATAACAGGACCGTGAATTCTGTGGTGCCTATAGTTGGAATAAATAAGAAGTCAGATTTGTGCAATATTCGGGGCACTGTGATAAAACTGACTGATCCTTGACTAAACCTAGATGTGTTTACCATTATTTAGACATTCAACAGTTTCAATATTCAAATACCAAAGTTTGTTAAGAGTGTTTGAAAGAACTGAAAATGGTTTCTTACTGTGAAAGAATAACAATGTAATACAAAGTTCGCCAGCGAATGTTTTATATACCAGTAATTTAAAAATCTGATATTGTACAATTCATTTGTTTTCATATTTGTAAAATAAAGAAGAAATACAAGAACTTGAATTGCCTCTAATATAAAGTACCTACTCATGTAAATTATTCATACTCATATTATAAATATGTTATGCTCCCCATTACAAATTTTGGCTCTGAATGTAGTCATCCATTTTTTCATCCTTGCCTTTTCCCTTTTCTACGGGGTCAGCACTGATAGGGAAGGGCTCATTTTTATCAATTTTCCGCATACTCCATTTTTATACTGATTTAGCGATTATTTTATGGCCAGACGCTCTTCCTGACGCCAACCACAGGGAACACACATGCACATTACACACAGACAACACATACAATCACCAAACACACGCAATAATGTGTGATAAGCCAGGATACCCCGGTTGTATTTGAACTGGAAAAACGGCATCAAGCGTGATATTTGCTATATGATTGTATGCAAACAGGACGCTTAGAGCCAAGGAATACGCTTTGTTAGGACCACCGATCAATAAGATATATCAATAAGATTCCATACACAACGAAAGAACGCTGTTCATTTTTTGAAAATCATGGCCTCGAGGACATAAAATGCAGCAAGTGTAGAGATGGCGTTGGAAGCCGTGGTTATGCGAAAATGTTGAAAGAATCATTCCCTCACCAGGAGCTGACCTGGACGGATGCAACACTTGCAACTGTACGATTATTATTTCGGTTGAGACTAGGAAATTATTTAATGATAGGGGAACGGGGACTTAGAGTTAATTGTGACGACTTTGTATTGCAGAAGTTAAAGAGTTCATGGGTATTAATTTGATCTGCATTGCAATTTGTAATAAGGAATTCAAAGTAAAATAGACTCCGTATCAAGGGGAATATTGTTTGAGTATATTCGTAGTGGGTATGATTTTTGCGGATTCGGCTAGAGATGGACAGTCACGTGTAGGTGTTTCATCCGAAGAATAGGCAGGGCAAGTCGTGCTCGCGAAGTTTTTTAGTTAAATCTATTGAGTCATATGAAAACATCGAATATTTTAGAACACTCCGGGAATTTTGGAAAACTTCTTCCGTTGTTAGAATATACCACAACACGAGGGATACCAACAACAGCATCCCACGGACTAGATCAAACCCGAAGACATCCATCTGAGAAGTCAACCCAGCACGATACGACCTTTACAAACTTGACTCAAACCGCACGAACTTGACTCAAAACCGTACGGAAATTTAATGATTGAGCAGAGAAAAAGTTAATTATTTTATCAATGAGATCAACATAATTTTGTAATAATGTCAGAAAAATGTTAAATTTTATAATTGAGAAAAGAAAAGGCTAATAATTTATAGTAGATGCCATAAATTTAACAACAAGCTACAACAAACAAAACTTCCAGGACGTGCAATTCTGTACAGAATTGCACGTCCATATATAAAAAAATTAATAAAATACGTTATTTTAATAGTGGTACAACTCCTCTTTTTTGATCAATCAAATTGAGTGAACTCCATTTTCAGGGCCGCTCAAGGGTTTTACATTTATTCCGATAGTGATAGAACCCCAAGTTCTTTCTGTGGACGACACAGCGCTCACAATGAAAGTGAAACGCAAGAGATACAAATCTGTTTATTTTGATTGTGGAACAACGCCAGTGGCTACGTAGCTTTTTACAAGTCTCGTTATGAGTGATTTTCGAGATATTTATACCGTCTGCAGTGATATGATGATAAAGAGCTTGATCCAGAATTGGTAATGGGAACAACAAAAATAATATAATTCTATGGCACATTTTGTATTTAATACTGAAATTAAACTTAATGGTCTGTGTGATTAAAGACCTTTAAAAGTCTGTAACAAGAAGGAAGAAAAATGAACAAAACGGGGTCTGTAACTGTCTAAAAATGACATAGATTAGATTTGTCAAACAGACGAATTTTCTAATAATAATCAAGTAAACCTTAAATCAAGATATTGGTTTCTAAAGAGTAAACTTCACTACACACGAACCACCAGAGAATGAGGATGAACAACGGAATTCAAAAAAACTTGAATATTACGCTTCTACCAATATTGCAAAGGAAGGTCAATGAGAAGAAACAGGATATGCTTGAATTGTTTCCATTTATAACCGTTAATCACGCTTATTTCACTGATCTGCAGGTAGGAAACGGACGATTTCAAGAAGATGAAAATACCTGAATGTGCCTCAACAGCAACGTTAAATTAATATTTAATCTGTTTTAATATATCGATATTGCCTTCATTTCCAACGTGCCATAGACCGACATCTACCGATTTAGCCCACCAACTTCATATTTCTGGAGGTATATCACCTTTACACTCCCAATATTCCGCAAAGCTTATGTATGCTTATTCATATCATCTTCAAACGAACAAGTAATTATCTTATAAGACAAAAATACACATTTTTTGTCTAACTCCATCTCCATTTTTACAGTTCTTTAACTTTAGAGCTCACTATCTCGAAATAAGTGTCAATGGAGTTGAACCACTATTAAAAAAACGGCTCCATGTGTCGAAACCCACGAGTACAAGTCAAAGTAAAATTACAATAGCCATGGTTAAATATTGTGTAGGCTAAAAAGCATAGCAGGGCAAAATTAAATAAAATTAGTTATAACAGTAATAAACGCGATATTAGTCGGGCAACGAAAATAATTGATTATTTAAAAATGGAGAAGGTATTTCACAAACACCTTGCCCAGTGTGACGCACAGGCAAATGACTAGTCCAACGCAGAGCTAGAAATGGTGAAATTCTGGAGGTTCATGTTTGTGTTTAATAATTTGCCAGCCATTTTAGTTGATTAATTTTGGGAGAAACTACGCCTTTTAAATAATTTTGTAAATCATTTTAAATTACGATGGAGACATGCAGTAGGAAATTGCGCCATCAAAGTATAAATTCTGATAGCTACGTGGGAACGATTTGTGCATCTGGTGGGGAGAAATTGCGAAGAAATAACGGTAACGATGTCAATACTGAAGCCGAATCGAACGTAATTATGGAAACGGAAACCGCAAGGGAATTCTTGGGGCGTGACCTGAACAGGATATGCAGAAAGCACCGCATAAAAAGGGTGTGAATAGTTCGATTTTAAAGCTATTGCTTCATAGGAAGAATGATATTAACAATTAATTTGAACGGAGAGGGGTGAAGGGTGTTCAGAGTAAATGATGAAGAGAATACAAGGAAGAGAAAGAAAAACTGCACTCTGTGCGTTCCCATTTATTAGTACACTGGTGTTGATCGGAGACAATACTGAAAACTAGCGATCAGAGCAGCCGGCTCTTAGATTTCTCCTCCAGACAGCAACTGAATTCGACCCAGATATCTAGCTAATAACGAAAATCGTGGGGACTGGGACCTAAGACCTTCCGATTAAGGGCACAGCAGTAACATACGTTG